ATGTTGTATAAATTCAATAATATGTTTATTATTGAGGTCATAGATAAAGGTGGTGTTGTACTGGACTACATTATATTCAGAGGTGTTCCTAATATTCTGACCCTCTTATCTATGTTGCTGGGGAGGACAAAAATAATGAGAAGTACATACAGCTGTACAGGTGTGACTATTAAAGTGGCCGGGCAGTGTATATTAGCATATAGGCTGAATGCACCAGTCTTGTGTTTAAATAGATAACCTGACTAATGTGCTTTCTTGCCAGGAATAAGATGAGAAGGTTGATTCCAGTTTCATATTTGGCTGTATGCTGGTTAACTTAGCGTAAAGACTGTAAACGGAGGAAACTCTAGCCTGGCTAAGAGCACATATAATGCTCACTAATTAACATGTTATATTTTGATTGTGTAATTTATTGTGAATTTGCATGTCATCCAGCAGAGACTCCAGGTGCTCGTAGGTGGATTCTGTTACCTTTGGACAGAGCCAGGCAGTATAATGAAAGAAATTCACTGAACAATAAAGGCTAGTGGAGCAGAAACTAATTTGGAAGTGGGGCAAGACTTTTTGCTACTTCTGATTCTGAAGTGCAACATTTTAAGGTCATTCTTGGTGGTCATCAGGATCTGCAGCTTGTTCTGACTTCCTAGCAATTGACTTATAGATTTACAGGGTGATAATGATAAGCTTGTTGGCAGTAGCTGGTGCTGAGTCACCTTCAATGACCATTAAGCTCCTTCAATTTCACTGCTTCACTTTTTCCCCTCCTTTCCTCTACCCTGCCTCTCCCTTGTTTTCCTAGTTTCTCTCTCCTCCTTGTGCTCCTCTCTTGCTTCTAACACACTGTTATCACCTTTTTCATAAATTCTCATATTTCCTCTTCTTCTCTTTCACCATCCTTTCATCTGTCTTTGTCCATCTGTCCCGTTATCCTCTAGATCCTCTACTTTACTCTCTGTGCCAGGCTGTGTCTAAATTTAGATGGGTAAAACCCTTGTCATAATCAAAGAGCTGCACCGATCTTCACAACAGTCCAACTCCCAGTTGGAAACAATAACCGAACATGGGTAGAGCCCATCTTGTCTCAGTATGTCTGAACTTGTATTTGTTTGAGTGCCATGTAGAAAGAGAGAGCAAGTTGTCATTTCATTCCAGGTTATTTATCTGAGCATATGTATGTCATCGACGCATCACAAACTCAACTCTGAGTGTCGATGTGTGTCAGCACTTTGGTATCCATAAACATACTGTACATACTGAATATCTCAATCTAACTATCTGTCTATCTATCTATCTATCTATCTAGATATAGATATGTATATACACATATAAAAAAGAAAAAAGAGACCAACACATTACATTTAAATCACATAAGATGCAGGCCTGTTCATCAGTGACTCCACTGTGTGGAATTTAACCTCACACTAGTGTTATCCTCCGCAGTCAAAGCCAAGATAATGCCATTCAATGAACCAGTAAGTCTGGGCACAAATCTAAACATCAGATTATGCAAAAGAGCCAAATAATTAGGTACATCCACAAGCATTTTACTGGAATCCTCAAGAGCATCCTCAAACCATCATTATAAGCCACCATAAACCTCTGTATGCTACCCGTCCTGTAGCATTGCCACAGGTGAGGAGCATACAAAGGGGTGAAGAAGGCTCTGAACAGAGAAATCGTAACAGATGGTGAGCACATGCCACATCTTCACGACAAAGTATTCACCCATGCATACATCCCTTGACATGCTTAAAAATGTCCCTCTCATCAGTCATTTGCGATACATCCCAAATATTTGATATCAGTGCACTCCTGTAGTAGTTGGCATCTGCCAGGAAGAAATCTGGGAACACCAATTTTCTGTCCTCCCTACTTTTTACATCCTCTCTATTCACATTGTCTACATAAAAAAAAACTTTTGAAATTAGTGGTGGATTTAGATGTGATTTGATAATAACTGTTAGAAAAAAAATAACAATACCTAATGATAAAGTAAACAGTTTTGGATATATGTAAATTCAGTAGTTACATAACGATGTAACTACTATGCAAATTAGTGATGTCATTTTGTGACATTTAGCATTTTTAGCAGGCTTTAGCTACTTTCTGTCAAAAATAGTTGGCAACACTGAGATGGTGATGTGAGTGAGTCACTCCCCTACATTTATAATTCAACCGTGCTGCTGTGTGCTGAAGCCATCATAGCAGACAGAGAGAGACACGCTGTCACACATAACTGCCGTCTGCAGACTTTGGTGGTCCCTCGCCTTTTCCTGTCATTGACATTTGTGGTTTTGAGTAAAATGTCTCTGCAGCTATAATACTAGACTGTCCAAGTAACTTGTTTGATCTAACAAGTTGCCAGGAAGATTTTACAATTTATAATGAAACTGCACAGAGAAAAAGCTGCAGATCCTGACAATTTAAATTCTGACAGCTGCAAAATGTTTTGAATTTTGTCTTGACAAATTAAAGCAAAAGCCTCTTAACAGTAGGGACAGAGAAACATGCTGAGTGAATGTTTGCTTTTCCCATTCCTCTGTCTTCTCACAATCACTATGTACAGACATCTGAAATGAATTGGTTTCTGGGTGCCGAGGTCAGAGCTGCCAAATTTGCCTTGTGCAGCTTTAACACTCAGTGACTTGATGGCATCTCAAGGTGATTACTGCAAGGCATTGCATTAGAGATAGCCACTGAGCCATAGCGAATTCAGTGAATGGCTCTGGAGGTTATTTAAAATGAGTCCAACCGGGGATATTTACTATAGTTCAAACACACTGACAAAGTGTTTTTGAGCGGATGGTGAAAACTCAAAGTGAAACGTGCCTGTTGTAATGTGTTGATAATATTGCTGGCTCTGAATTGGCAGAGGCTGACTGAGTTTGTGTTCAGCATTTCTTATTGGTGACCATCTCTCTGGCTCTCAGTGCCATTTCTGCTGTAACTGATAGAATGTCAAGCTACAGAAGCTCCCATCTCAAGTCCTCCCAGTAGGGATGGGCGGAAGGCGTCATGTTGATAGCGCATTCTGGTACACGCACATACACACAGAAATGTACTGTCTGTACTGTATTCATTATCATGTCTGAGAATTTACTGGATTTCTTAACTCACTAATGTCAGCAAACCTTAGAGATGGGAGAAGCACTGGCATCTATGTATGTATGTTTTTTTTTTTTTTGGCCTTTGTCCATATGTCTGTTTCCTTTGCCCATTCCAGATATTAAAAGGTTTCTCTTGTAACTACATCTTTCATCTTGAGAGTCATGATTTCAGATACACTCTAAAATATTTCCATCCATTATCTATACCATTTATCCTGTAGAGAGTCACGGGGGGGTCTGGGTCTGGGTCCAACTGTACACCCTGGACAGGTCGCCAGACAGTCTATCAAGGTTGACACACAGACACAGACAAAGATTCACAATCACATTCACATCTACGGACAATTTAGAATCACTAGTCAAGCTAACTTGCATAAGGAAGCTGGAGTACCTGGAGAAAACCCAAGGGGAGAGCATGCAAACTCTGAGATGTGTATGCAAGTGTGTCATTCTCTCTAAGTTGTAAGCTTAGACTGAAATAGGGTTACTCGTGCATTATTTACCCTGATTTTGGTGGTGCAACATTTCCTGTCTTCTGCCATCCTCCTCCTCTTGTCTATCTGTTTCTTTCTCTGTGTCTGTGCTTGGAAAGAGTTGGCTTCTCTGCTGCATGGCTTACCATTCATGCTGTGATCTCTTCTGAAGCCCAGATTTAGCATAAATCCTGCTGTAAAGCCAGGTGAAGTGGCTTTACAGCAGGAAATGTAAAAACACTTCAAAAAATGTAAAATGTTTACATTAGAGTGGACGGTAGACTCACTGCATGTATGTGCGAGTGGAGTGTGAAGTCGATGGGTGTTCCCATAATACATGTTCTATTCTGGTATCTCCACATTGGATTAGTGGGTGTGTGTCTGCGCTGTTTGTAGCTGCAATATTTTTAATTTAAAATCCCAGAATGTTGATTGTTTATCATCAATTTTATTTACTGGATAATAAACTCCAATAATAGGTGCAGCTCTTGAATTATAGCCTCCAGCTGTGCCTTCAGCCTAGGTGCATTCCTATAAATAGTCCAGTGTTTTAAGTGAGTACCTGGGAATATACAACAATATAATAGCATATCCTTAAGGGTTTAAACAGCTGTGCCTGCTAAGTGTTTGCTTTTTTCCCTTTATTCCCTTTATGCTTTATTCCCTTGTGAGCAGGAACAGTGATTTGTTAAGGAGGATTTTAAGCTCAGATTGTTACACTTAAAGAAGAAAAAAAACAGCTCTGCAAACATTTTTTAAACTGGCCCGTGCTGGGCTTCAGTATTTTAGTAGAGATGTTATTAGAACTAAATTGCACATTCAGAAAACTCAGAGTCTTGGGGAAAAGGGTTACAGTTCTCTGATTTGAACAGTTGTCATGCAAGTCCTATTTTTTTTTAGCTTTGAATGTTTGGAAGTAGTTGAATTTACAGGGTAGGATTAAAAACAAGTTTATAATGCACATTCTGCTTTCATGTTTAAATCATACATGCACATATGCACATCAAGTTAGATAATAATAAAAACACACATACACATTCAAACAATTTCTCCGACATGCCCCGGTAAACCCCTGGCCCACTGCTATGCAGTATGCATGGGCCTGTCGCTTACAGTAAGTCCTATAAATGTAAAAGCTTCTCTTTATATAAAAAAGCTACACTGGTACTTGTTACAATGATGTTTTACTTACATAAAATCATTTTGTTTCACATAACTGTTAGAATTAAGATAATACATTTCCAGTTATAATTACTTGTGGGATATAGCAGGAGGGGTGTCAAGAATTTGACACAATTCAAACTAGCAAACTATGCCAATTACTTCTTCTCTAATCCGGTGGTAGAAATCATATGGGAGCAAACAGTTTTTAAGATTGCATATTAAGTACTAACAATTTGTTCTTATTTTTGTCTTGCAGAAAGAATGGCTTTGCCTCAACTGCCAGACCCAAAGAGCCATGTCAGGCCAACTGGGAGACATGCCACCTCCAGCCGCAGCTTCTCCAAAGAAGAAACCACCGGCTTCTGACCCTTCCTCTACCCCTTCTCCTGCTGCTGTAGATGGCAAACCTGTAGAAGAAGCAGCAGACCTAACCCCACCAGCTCCTGAGGCCAAGGTAGTGCCTGCAACCTTTCCTACACCTGATAGTACACTAATTTCACCTGATCATCATGCCTCTCTTTTTATTAGTTCCCCTCCACCTGTTAGCATCCCCCAGGAAACGCCACAGTCAAAAGAACAAAAGCAACCACTAGCAGTTGAACCAGTGTCTGAGCCTGTAAGTCATTCTGAACATGAAATTCCAATTTTGGAGAATATAGCTGAAAGTATCTCTGCAATCACAGCAGTTGAGGAGAAGCAGAACAGTTCTGGTAATACAGCAGAGGACTGTCTTCACCCTGAGACAAACCCATCTGGTGCCGATCAACAAAGTACAACTGACAGTAAAATCTCAGCAGTTCAACTACAACAGAGTAGCTCTGACAAAGTGAAAGAGGACCTGACTCTCCCCATGGAAAGTAAGATGCAAAATCCTTGGACTAATACAGGTTTAGACAAGACAACACTGCTTTCTAAGGTAGAAATAGAGCCAAATCCCAAGATTACTCAGAGTGAGGCTGCAGGTCCCCTAGTGAGAATAATCTCCAAGTGAGATAGTGAGAAAGTGGAGGTCACTCCCAAAAAGCTTCCAGATGTGACAACAAATTCAGCTGAGCCAAATGCTGCCTCAATCCCAGAAGCAGTAACACAGGAAATTTCTTTTCAGCCTGATCCAATGCCAAATCTTATAGGTACAAATGCGAAAAAGGAGAAAGTAATAAAGGTAGTTGGTATGCAAACTGAGAAACCCCAGTCAGATGCTCCAGCAGGTCAAACTCCATCAGATACAGTAGACACAGCTTTTAATGTGGTGCAAACAAACACCACAACAAAACCTGAGGCTGACAGTTTAACAGAAATAAAAGCAGAACCAGAAGCCAGTAGTAGAGAAGTAGTAGAGAAGCCAGCGTTCATAGAAGAGGATGAGGAGAAATTCATTCAGGAGGCGACACAAGCTGGTCTACAAAACACAAACACTATTGCTGAAAACCAACACAAGTTAGAAAGGGAGATGTCAGCTCTGACAGGCAGTGATGTGAAACAGCCTGAGAAAGTTGCTGAGCTGTCAATCAAAGAAAAGGAAAAACCATTTGACAAAAAAGAGGTTGAGTCGCAACTTGTTGCTGGCAAAATCCAGGAAATAATTTCAGTATCAGAGATGAGCACAGTCTATGACAAAGATGGTACCGCACATGTAGGAGAGAACACAGTATTAAAGACAAATTTATCAGAAGTGTCAGAGAAAGCTTTTGAAATTCCAGCATTAGTGTTAGCTTCAGCTTCAGTCCCTATAGCAAAACCTGAAATTCCAGGCTTTGTAGTTGATGAGCAGTACAAAGGCCCAGAGGAGAATATGGAGGAGAAAAAGGAGGCTAATTCTCAGCCCAGTGATGAAGATGTAGTGACTGAGGTGACCATGTAATGTAGGCTAGAGTGAGGAAGGAGCCGGAAACAGAAGTTGCCTTTATCCATTTTATTTCTCCCTTCTCATTTTTGCAACCACACAGAACACAATGAATACAGAATAATCCCTGCCCAACCCAAACTAAATACGTCCCACCTACAGGGGCATTATGGGGGGTCCTGCCAGGTGCTTCCCCTCTAAGGCATTCCGGGGGTCCCCACCAAGTGTCTCTCTGCCCCCAACACTACAGTATTAATGGTTCCCTCCTATTTTACAATACAAAAAAAAACAAAAAAACATGTGTTGTTACATGTACGCCACGTGTAGGTCCATCACAGTTTTTGAGGAATAATAAAATGGAAACAAAATTATATTTTCTGAGACTCTATTTTTTCTATTTTGGTGAACGTAGCAAATGTAAAACAAATCATGCACAAATATAAACATAAAATCTACCACTACTTGTGCTTAATATTGTGTCTTATTTCAATCCAACAGGTGAAAATAGTGGAGACCTTGAAACAGCCTGGAGAGAAAGAAATGGCAGCAAAAGAGGGCAGTCCTACCAGCCCACCTGACCTAGCAAGGCTGGAAAGCACAGTTCTTCCTATTCTTGTGGCCCAGGCAGACTCACAGCCAAAGGAAGAGGAGGAGAAACTAACAGATGGCCAAAAGACTAGACGTAAACTAGAGGTACTTCCTCTCACATCTGACTCACCAAGCTCAGAGGATGACAGAGAACTTTCTGAGAAAAACACCAAAGGTACGCTAAAGAAAAAACTCCTTGTGTCCATGGATGTCAAGGCAGATTCCCTTGATGATAGCAGTGAAAGCTTTGGAAAGGAAAGCCCAATTTCAGGGGATGATGAGGAATTTATCCGAAAACAGATAATTGAAATGAGTGAGAATGAGGATGCATCCCCTTCTGATGAAGAGAACCTAATCCAGCGCAAAATCAGAGAGCATGGGAAAAAACAAACAGAAAAGAAGAAAACAGAGGCTGTGGAGAAGAGCATATCAGGAAAAAACAGGCGACTTACCAAGAAGAGCACTATAAGTCCAGATGATGAGAAAAATAAGCAGTTCTACAGCTCATTGGATAAAGCTGATGTAGACAAACAGGAGGGACCAGAACCAAAAGAAGAGGAGCATCAGAGTGGTACTGCAGTTTGCAAATTCCAAATTATGGAGTTGAATGCCACCAGCAGCCCTATGTGTATACTTAATGATCATGGAGAGCCTGAAATGGAAAGCCTTACAGACTCTCCAGATGATCGGTCTAGAGGTGAGGGGTCATCCAGTTTGCATGCATCCAGCTTCACCCCTGGGACATCTCCAACATCCCTCTCATCACTGGATGAAGACAGTGACAGTAGTAGTCCCAGCCATATCCATTCTGGTGAGGGTAAACAACACAGGAAAGCCAAACACAGACAATCTGGCCAAATGCTCCCAACTATTGAAGACTCGTCTGAGGAAGATGAGTTACGGGAAGAAGAGGAGCTGCTCAGAGAGCAAGAAAAACAGAAGGGCTCAGGGAAAAAATCTAAGAAAGACAAAGATGAGATTCGAGCCCAAAGAAGGCGAGAGCATCCAAAGACACCACCAAGTAACCTTTCCCCAATTGAAGATGCTTCACCAACAGAGGAACTGAGACAAGAAGCTGAAATGGAAGAGATTAGGCGATCATCTTGCTCTGATTTTTCCCCCAGTATTGAATCAGATCCTGAAGGGTCTGAAGTTCATGCTTCAAAGATTTCAGCAGTCCAGAAAACATATCAACTGCCTACATCAGTATCTCTTCACTCGCCAACAGATGATCAAAATATTGATAAACTACAGAAAAAATCTCTTAAAAGTGCTGATGAGGCCTATGAAGAAATAATGCTGAGGGCTAAGTCTCCAACAGTTGACAAAGGCGAGATTCAGCCAGAAAAAGAGTCCCTCTATGGAGGCATGCTCATTGAAGACTATGCCTATGCATCTCTTATTGACAATTCAGCAACTGATCTGGAGGAACCAGAGAAGATTGTTGTTCCTGTTCAGCCCAAAAAGCTGAGATCACCAGATGAGGTCTATGAAGATGTGCTAAAGAAAAGGAAGGAATTCATGCACCTGGAACAGGAATTTCTAAATATGCAGTCAAAAAATGAAAGTACTAATCCAGAAATTATTTTGCAACCAGCTGACAATAGCTGCATTAAAAGCACTACAGTAATATTAGGCAAGGATGGAAAGCCATTGTTGGATGCTGAAGCTGCCTATGAAGAGCTAATGAAAAAAGTTCTGTCTCCTGGAAGAAATCCAACTCAACAGGATCCAGAAGTAGCAGCTACTGCATCTAGAAGGGCGCTCCACCCCATCCCAGACCTAAAGGTTACTCAGTGCTCTTCGGGAGAGTTATCTTCTGATGATGAGATTATAATTAAAAAGGAAGAGGAGATAACTGTAGTATCAGAAGCAACATCAGCTATAGAAACTGAACCCGTGACAGTGTTTTCTGGGTCTTTTCCATCATCCACATCAGATCAGCAACCTCACACCACAATGGCTGCATCCCAGGCTGATGTTGTAAACTTATCTAATGCAATTCCAAGAACATCAACCCCTGTGATTGGCAGTGTATCACCCTTGCCCACAGTACCACAGTACACACCCAGTATTTCCAGTGTGGTGTCAACTGCCCCACCTGTACCCCCTAAGCCAAATGTCCTGCGTAGGGCTAATTCTCAGGAAAAAGCAGAAGTACCTGTTGCACCACCTTTGCCTCCTTCCACCTCAAAACCTACTGTTTTTCCCAGGAAACCTCCAGTTCCACTTCCACCTCAGGCTTCAGCAACTCTAATCAGACCAGAAGTGGTGGCTATGACTACAGTGCAAGGGCCACCTACAAGGCAAATTGTTACACCAATGTACAAAACTCATGTACCCCCTCCTGTTCCCCCAAAGCCATCCATGCCTGCTGGGATTGGAGATAGCCACAGACCAGGACATGGTGTCAAACCACCAATTGCGCCGAAGCCTGGTTCACAGCCTTCTTCACCTGCCCATACCACACATCCAACAAGACCCATTATACTTCCCACTGATCATACTGACATACCCCTCAATCTGAGCCCCTCTTCTGAGAGCAAGCCTTTTCAACCTTCACCTAAGTCCCCTTCTTCTCCAAGATATGCCAGCAATCTTCATGACACATATGTAGTCATCACACTGCCATCTCAGCCTAGCTCTCCAGTAGACAGTGTCTCAACTCAAGCTCCCTCAAGCCCTGGCCCAGCATCTCCCTCACACCAAGCTTGGCCCCAAAGTTATCATCAAACACAGCCTCACCCTCAATCATATCCACAACAGTATCCATTAGCAACCTCTCCTCAAACAACCAGGGTGCCTCTGGCATATACACAAGTCACAGAATCCATTGAAAGTCAAGACATATGTGGCCCAGAAAAACATGTATCTAGTTCTTGTCACATTATTGAGGCTATATCTGCCTCAGCACAGCCATCTGTGGCTATGCCTAACCTCATCTCTCAAGTGGTCACCACAGAAGTCCAAAGGACCACTGTCTCTGTTGTTCATGAAAGGGCACCACCACCAGTGCCAGCTCCAAGGGCAAATGGTGTCCCATTGTTGATGGAAAAACCTAAACCCCAGTTGCCAGCACAGATTGGGCAGGCCTTGCAGCCTTCTGAGGTGGTAGATCTTAGAACTATGAAGGTGGACCAAGAATCAGACAAGAATGGTGTGGATCTGTCTGGTGGCCCAGAGACAAGACGTCAGTCGTATGCAGCTGATGCCATTTGTCAGAGCAGTGCAGTTCAGCCATCTGTAGTCAACCTCAGTGCTGAATCATCTACTGTTTCTATTGTGACTGATAGCATCACCATTGTTACCTGTGCTGCTACAATTCAGCAATGTGACAGTGTAGACACCTCTCAGACATCATCAGTGCCCCTTCAGCTAACAAAAAACAAAGCATTTGAGCCTGTTTCTCAAATTATATATCGACCAATTGATTCTCAGCCTTCTACTCATGCTGGTACAGAAATCCCTATTAACCTCTCAAGCACAGGTGGAGGAACATTCCAGACCATCCCTGTCACTCTTCCACCAGCTTCTGTTGCAAGTTGTGCTGCCAATGGATTAACTACGGATACAGCCACAGTGGCAGGAGCTGTCAACCTTAGTACAACAAAACCATTCAACAGTGTGGTATCAGTGGATACCACTTCTGTAGTCACAGCTGTAATCACAGATGATGACGGCAAACCAGTAGATCTGACGGCAGGAAAAAGAGCTGTATGTTGCGATGTTGTGTACAAGCTCCCATTTGCAAGAAGCTGCACTACTCAGCAGCCTACTACACCCCTGCCTGAAGACCGTTTTGGATATCGTGATGACCATTACCAGTATGATCGATCATCTTATGGCATGAGAGGGTTTGGTGGAATTAAACCATCAATGTCAGACACTAACCTAGCAGAAGCTGGCCTGTTCTTTTACAAGAGTAAGAACAGCTATAATTTCAGTGGCACCACAGAGGGTGCAGTAGATCTTACCTCAGCAAAGATATCTGATGCAGGTCAGTGCAGTGACATTGCAGACCTGTCACTTAAATGCTACTTTGAACTGCCTCCACTCATACATGGCTAATGTGGTATTTTTTGTTTTGTTTTGCATGGACATTTCAGTTTTTTTGTTTTTGTTGTTCTATCACCATAATATTTTTATATGTGCCTGCATGCTGTTATTGTACAGTCCATCTTGTTTATACTTGTTGCACCTCAATATTGGATGATTTTTTTCCCCTTTTACACCTTTTTTCATAATTTGGATAAGGCATGGCTTGCTTCAACACTGAATAAGTATGCATTATTTGGACTCAGCTGATATTTTTGACCTTTGACAGGTGAAGCTGTTGACTACTCCAAGAAAGGGACATACACAGGAATGACAATTCCACCCTATTCCCAAGCCAGAGTCACAAGTGGTGTTGGTACACTCTTTGGCACAAGTAACGTCCTGAGGTCATCAAATGGGGTGGTCTATTCCTCTGTTGCAGCACCAATCCCATCTACATATGCCATTACCACCCAACCTGGGTCCATCTTTAGTACGTCATACAACACCCCGTCAGGGATGCACACCAGTGACACCATGCCTTCCCTGTCCAATCTCCAAAACCTGCCACTTACACGGTCTCATAGTTTCCTGTCCACCATCTCCACTACTGCAACAGAAGAACAAGAAGATGTCCCGCTCAATCTGGAGATCTCTAGGGGGGTTATTACTGCTGCCAATGCTGACACCACAGCAACAACCTCTTTAACCCTTGACACCTACACAAATGCATCTCTGGAGGCCATAGCTGCTTCATTGGAGGCTCTGTCTTCACCAATGGTTCCAGGAGATGGCCAATATCAGGCAGAGCGTGAGAGGCTAGAAATGGAGAAACTCAAGCAACAGTGCCTGGCTGAGGAGTTAGAGCGGGAGCGCCAGGAGATTCAGCGGTTCCGCGAGCAAGAGCAGCTCCTAGTACAGAAAGAACTTGAGGAGCTGCAAGCCATGAAGCAACAGATCCTGGCACAGCAAGAAGAGGAAAGACAGGCTCACCTAATGATGCAGAAAGAAACCTATGCCCAGCAGCAACAACAACTTGAGCAGATTCAGAGGCTCCAAGAGCAATTACGCTTGCAATTGGAAGAACAAAAGCTTCGTCAGATGTACCCAGGTGGGGACATACCAGGGAATGGCTTGCAGGAGGCACTCATCTTAGGACCTGATGGCACAGTGCTGGCCCGAAAGATTACAGATAGTGGGTGTCAGACAGATGAAGAGGATGAGGCAGTCAGCAAAGCTTACACAGCAGGGAGAAAAAAGAAAAGTGCTAAAAAGAGTGTTGACAGTTGTGTTCAGACTGATGATGAGGATCAAGAGGAATGGGAATCTCAGACCAGAACCCGACAAAGCCGGCCATCCCGTGCCAGGGGTGAGAGAGGTGGGCAGTCAGAGGTGTCTCTTCAAGCCCACACTGAGATTTCTATACAAACGGATACAGAGGGGAACATTAGAATGGACACCAGGATGGAGCTGTCTGACTCTGAAAGGACCTCACCAAAGAAACGACCCACCCCCTTAGAAATAGGCCAGTCTTCTAACCTCAAAGTTGATTCCTCTACAATTCAAGCCCCTCCTAAATCTCCTAAAGTGCTCTATTCACCAATATCCCCCTGTATATCCCCTAGCAAATCCCTTGAGTTTGTGTCCTATGACAAATCACTTGGTGATACAAGCCCACAAAAGCTAAGAGGAAGTACAGATCCATTAAAAGGCTCTCCAGCAAGTCCTAGGGGACCAAAAGCCATTCAGAGATCCATGTCTGACCCCAAGTCCTTGAGCCCAACAGGAGAAGAGAGGGCAACATCTGGCACCCAGTATGGTGATAGCTATACTGTGAGTACTATAAGTATCACTTTAATTTACATAAATAAAAGACAGAATATAGTATAGGGACTGGCTAAAAGTATGTTTAGTTTAATGAACCTGTGACCCGTTTAGTTTAATTTTAAGAAGATGTGGCTGTTATTTGTGTTTTAATAGTTCATTTGATTAATAATGTGCAAAACAAATTTACGTGTTTCTGGAAAGGTATTTCATTACCATGATATTACTTCAGTTTTTCTTAGCTTTAGGGTAACTATGGCTTTTGGTTTTACAGTATTTTTATTCAGCTTGTCCTTTAGAGTAATATAGATCTACTTTCAGATATATATGAGTACACCTTTAAATGTGTATCTGATACATTGAAATAACTTTTGTAGCCTACTCAAAATGACACACTGCAATTCTCACAACCTACTTATTCCAAATACTAAAGACCATAATAAAAACAATTAATGTCATAAGCTTTAAATTTTGGATTTGATATGAATGGAAATTAAACTGGGAGAATGTGACTCCTGAAACTGTTATGTGTTTAGTTTAATTTTGGCCTGCTGTTACACAGAATTATCATTAACAATAGCTTGATCAGTTGTCATTAAGGAGAGCAGCCCAGCAAATCTATATGGCTGAGGAGGACAAAACAATAAAATTGAAGTGAAGTGAAGAAAGGACTGGAGTTTGATTGGCTTTATTTTAACAGATAGAAATCCTTTAAAATATACCAGGACCTGGCCTGACAAAGATCTTTAGGAACAGTTCCAGAAACATTTGTTTTTTAGATATTGTTAGGGTGAGTTTTATTTTACGCACTTATGAATGGTTTTATTTTATAGCACACACCTCACAATATTATTCCTGTGAAATAATTCAGTCCAAGGATTACTGCTCCTTGTAAAACTATCCATAAGGGAATCATCGTTCTACATCAACTCCATGTTTCTTCCTTAAGAGTTTCTGTTATGGTTCTTCTTGCATGCATTTAGTACTAATGTGGATAACATTTAACTATTGTGTATCTATGTAAAGTCTGCATGTGTCTGTTGATATTTTCATATTTTTATGTTTAACCTTACCTCTGGTAAATATGGGTTTTTATTTTTTGCTGTCAGTACATTTGGTCAGTCTGTTGAGATCTGGTGTACATGCATGCCTTTGCTCTATGTCTTATGGAGTTGGCTTGAATTTATCTTTGTGTATACTAGTTCACTGCATGACACTGTACAGTCTCATTTTGGTTAGACCTACATTGTGTGGGAGGTTTCCCTCTACAAATAGCAGTTGCTCACTTGTGGCACATTTTATTTAGAGTTTACTATTAGCTGTTTGTTTCAACTCTTAAAGAAGATTTAAAGTATTATTTTCATCAACAGAATCATCCTTTTTCATGTTGCACAAGTGACATGCTCAGTTGTTAGCAATCCTTTCCCATGGCAAGAGTAAGATTGAGGTTAAGTTGAATTTATATGAGCAATATTCAGAGTTCAGAGACTGCTTTTTGTAATTTGAGGACTACATAAACAATCAACTCATTTATTTTGGGGACTAAGAAAACAGTTTGAAATCCCACAGTTCTAATCTTTTTTTTCCCCAACAGGGGAAAGGGTCAGGGGGCACACCGACCAACACTCAGAAGAAGGTTAAAAGGACTCTCCCCAATCCACCATCAGAAGATGAGTCAACAACCAGTGGCCAGGCAGCATACAGCACTGGTTCTGCCCGCCGAAGAATGTGCCGGAATTCCAACATGGCACGCGCCAAGATCCTGCAAGACATTGATCGTGAGCTTGATCTTGTGGAGCGGGAGTCTTCGAAGCTCCGCAAAAGGCAAGCAGAGCTGGATGAGGAAGAGAAAGAGATTGATGCCAAGCTTAGGTACTTGGAGATGGGCATTAATCGTAGAAAAGATGCGCTACTAAAGGAGAGAGAGAAGAGGGAAAGGGCCTATTTACAGAGTGTTGCTGAGGACAGAGACTACATGTCAGACAGCGAGGTTAGTAATATACGTGAGACTAGAGGTGGACGTGGAAGTGGTGAGGATGAGGAGATTGAAAGCCATGGCCTTGAACGTCCCAGGACAGCTCCTCAGTCAGAAATGGATGATTTTGTTCCACCTCAAACCAAGAATGAATATGGAAAATACTCCCAGTACCAATACCCTCAAAGCCAGTACCAGCAGGCTCTCTACCAGAATCCCCAGTCTTACCAGTCTCATTCGATCTTCTCCTCTGTCCCCTCCCTCACAACCTCCCAGCAGCAGAGTTATCACCAGATGCTCTTGTTGCAGCAGAAAGCTGCCAGACAAGCAGCCCTCCTCTCAGAGCTGGATGCAACTAAATATGATGTCATTAACCACCAGCCTGATTCTACATCGTCTGCCTATCTGGGAGTCAAATATGACAAATATGGCAACCATCTTGACCTCAGAGCGCTGGAGGTGGGAAGTATAGCAGGTAGCCCCATGTCAGCGGTCTCTGATTCCTATTACACAGATGTAGATCACCATACACCTCGGAGTTACATGCTGCTGGAAGATGCTGCAGAACTAGCTAAGGGTTCCACAGCTCTGTCTGCATCTTATAGTCTGGCTGAGAGGGAGCTGGCTAAAGCAGAGAAGCTGCTGCGAAGGAGTGCTGCAGATCTGGGATCTACTGACTATCTGGGATCCACCTCCAGACTCCATACTTTTGAAAAGACAGCTGATGAAGAGGATACAATGGAGGAACCCTATGAACTGAAACTCCTGAAGCAGCAGCTCAAACAAGAGTTTAGGAGAAGCACAGGTGGGACAGAAAGTCTAGAACAACTGGCAGGTCTCTCTCAGCACTACTACACCCCAAGCACTGGCATCTCTAGTTACTCCCAAAGACACTATCCAAAGTCAGACAAGTACAGCATCAGTCGACTTACTCTAGAGAAGCAGGCAGCTAAACAACTCCCAGCACCTATGTTGTACCAAAAACATAAGACTCCACTGTTAGATCCTAAAATCTCCTCCAAGTATTCTTCTATTACAGACAGCAGATGTTTGGAGACAGACTATACCAGCTATCTGGGGTCAACCAGTGCATCCTCAAGATCCAGCCGGCTCATGCAAGATGAGATTACCTTTGGCCTTCGTAAGAATATTGCAGAGCAGCAAAAGTACCTTGGGTCCACCTTGGGTGCCAACTTGGCTGGGTCACTAAATTTGGGCCACAGCTTAGGTCTGGACTCTGCCTATCCTAGTGGTAGCCGCTCAAGACCTCCATCCAGGCCCACATCTTGCTATGGCCTAGACTTGTCAATCAAAAGAGACCTTTCAAGCTCTTCACTGAGGCTTAAAGGAGATGGAGAAGCATCTGGAGATGGACCAACCTATCAAACTCCCTCTGGTCGCACTAAACCCACCAGCCTTCCTATTGTGCAAAGTGGGCGTGGACGGATACCAATAGTGGCTCAGAACTCAGAGGAAGAGAGTCCATTGAGCCCTGTTGGGCAACCTATGGGAATGGCCCGTGCATCAGCGGGACCTCTGCCGCCCATCTCAGCTGATTCAAGGGACCAGTTTGGTTCTTGCCTGTCCTTGCAGGACTCCCAGCAGCAGCAACATATCAGGGAAGAGGCATCCAGGAACAGGAGTTATGCGCTGCTGGATGACCTTCAGGGCACCATGTCAGATAGTGAAGGTAAAACACAGACTTGTCACACTGTCACTCTTTTCCAACACCATGTTTCTTCCTTGAGAGTTTCTGTTATGCTTCTTCTTGCATGCATTTAGTACTAATGTGGATAACATTTAACTGAAGTGTATCTAGGTAAAGTCTGCATGTGTCTGTTGATATTTTCATATTTTTATTTTCTACCTTACCTCTGGTGAATATATGTTTTTATTTTTTGCTGTCAGTACATTTGGTCAGTCTGTTGAGATCTGGTGTACATGCATGCCTTTGCTCTATGTCTTATGGAGTTGGCTTGAATTTATCTTTGTGTATACTAGTTCACTGCATGACACTGTACAGTCTCATCTTGTTTTGGTTAGACCTGCATTGTGTGGGAGGTTTCCTTCTACAAATAGCAGTTGCTCACTTGTGGCACATTTTATTTAGAGTTTACTGTTAGTTGTTTGTTTCATCTCTTACAGAAGATTTAAAGTATTATTCTCAGGTCAAATCCAGATTTACATATAGTTTTATTCTTCAAATATTACACAGAAAAAGTACTTCCCCAACTTGCAGAATTTCCCATAATTCTGTCGACTGAGCTAGTTCTAAAATAACTCTTCAAATAACAGTACACAAGTAACATAGCCAGTAGTACATGAATTATATATTTTTTTAATAGTTTATGTGTACTGTGGATAGTGGATACTGTGTATTTTATGATCACATTTAAGTTTAGAAATATATTTATGGATTAAATTATCATGATACGAAACTCTAGGCAAGATCAAAACATTACCATATTATAACAACATTGCTAGAAAAAAATGTTTAAAGCAGGATGCTGTTATTGCAGTAGAAGAACTGTGATTGTGTTTTTTTTATTTATTTTATTTATTTAGTTGCAGCATGTGTGTGAAATAAATATAATAATTAAACTTGCATGTCTTGCGGTGAATTCTTGCATGTGCTGTATGTATTGTGACACCTCACGGTTTTTGTGGAATAGTATTGTCCATTCTATACATTTTCTTTAGTGCATTTTTTAAAGGTATCACTGCCTCACATTAATCAGAATGAACACACTTTATTAGTATGCACTTTATTATACAGCAGGAAAGAATTTCTTAAATGTTCTGTTAGTGAAAGCATACTATATTCTGAGTTGCCACTTTTAAAACCTTTTACTCTGTTGACTTCAGTAAGAGCCAGTAAATGTTAATTAAATATAAACAAGATTGGCAATGCCTGCTCTTGCATCTTTGATTAACTATGACTGTAACACAATAATTTATTGTCAGTATCCAAGCTGAGGACAGCGTTTCTCTTAAGTGGGATGCACAATGTAACAGTTTTCCATTTGCTAAACCACTGTTTATGTTTTTTATTTAGAAGTTTAAAGGTCCCATTTCAACGTTGTCTTGAAAACATCAATAATTACAGTACTTGTTAACAGATTCATATGGATCCCACAATTTTGTATAATAAACCCATTTGCCTTCCAGCCCTAAGTGATTCACTGGTGGCTTTGAACAGAGACGATGCAACCAATGGTAGAGTATTAGCTCAGTTCTTTCATTGCTAACCACAGGTCAATTGTGCAGCTCCATGATATGATGGGGAGGGGGGGGACACAGATAAATCCCAATTGAGTTTGCAAGTCCAAAAAATGTTAATGGTTTTACAGGAAATTTTACAGATGTCATATGATAAGACATATAATATGTTCTGGGGGAAGAAAACGCATATGTATGTAGCCAACATTTATATTCATAGACTATTTCTCCATGGTAGGTTTAGATTACTGTACATACTGTTTTAGTCACTTCTAAACTACATAAATTTTTGGGCTTATTTAACTATTATTTGTGAAATGTTGTGTTGCTTGACATCCTTTTCTCTTTTGATAAAGTAAATTAATAAACTGATGGCCCTTATACCCATATATGCTATATATATACTGTATATATATATATATATATATATGTATTATAAAATTCCCCACTCGCCCCCCACTTTGGGGCAGTCGTGTACTGTATTCCTTCCTTCAAGCTCGGGTCCTCTAACAGAGGCCTGGGAGCTTGAGGGTCCGGCACAGTATCTTAGCTGTTCCTAGCACTGCACTCTTCTGGACAGAGATCTTAGATGTTGTTCCTGGGATCTGTTGGAGCCACTCTCCCAGTTTGGGGGTCACAGCCCCCAATGTTCCTATTACCACAGGGACCACTTGTGCCTTCACCTTCTACATCTTTTCT